ACATGTATATGTGTACACGTACATTCTATGTCTTATGTCCACTTTTATCTTTAGTTGTCGCCGCATATACCACTTTAACCCCTTCCTGGAGTGAGCCAAGTACCCATTTCAAATCTACCTTCCAAAAAGGGGTAGTTTGTTTCTACTCTGAAACTGTGATAAGCAGTCAGGAAATCAAATGAGGAAGTTACACCCTTTGAAAGCCTGAATGTGCTCATTGGTTTTAGGCCCCATCGGCTAGGCTCCCAAAAAGTCTCACACATGTGGTATCCCCATACTCAGGAGAAGTTGGGGTGTATTGCCATGTATACCTATGATGTGTGAGAGAAATATCTCAGTAAAGTGACTGTGTGAAAAAAAAATGTCATTTTCCAAAAACTTGTGGCAAAATAAGATCTTCCAGAGACTCAACATGCCTCTCATCAAATTCCTTGGGGTGTCTATTTTTCAAAAAGGGGTCATTTGGGGGTGTTTGTACTGTCCTGGCATTTTAGCACCTCAAGAAATGTGATAGACAGAAAGTAAAAGCTGCGTACATTCCAGTATACTCTATATATCATAGTATGTAGACGCTATAACTTTCACACAATCCAATTAATATACTTATTGGGATTTTGTTTCTTTACCAAAGACATGTAATAGTATACATTTTGGTCTAAATGTATGAAGAAATTTGATTTTATTGGAAATGTTTTATAACAAAAAGCAGAAAATATATTTTTTTTCCCCAAAATGTTCAGTCCTTATTTATATAATAAAATATAAAAAAAATGGTTATCAAATACCAATCACAGCTGATCGCATGTAAATAAGGAAATGCGGGTTATTGGCATTTCTCTCCTCATGAGCTGTCACGCTGACAGCTCGTGAGGAGAGGAGAGCCGGTAATTGGCATTCCTCAGAGGGTACATCTACACTGATCATCATGGCAGTGATGATCAGTGCCACCTGTCATTGCCTATCAATGCCACCTGTCAGTGCCCATCAGTGCCACATATCAGTGCACATCAATGCCACATATCAGTGCCCATCTGAGCTGCCTATCAGTGCCAGTCAGTGCTGCCAATCAGTGCCAGCTAACAGTTTCAGTCAGTGCCACCTAACAATGCCAGTCAGTGCTGCCTATCAGTGCCAGTCAGTGCTATCTATCAGTGCCATATATGAGTACTGCCTTTCAGTGCCCACCAGTGATACCTGTCAATACCCATCAGTGCCACCTACCAGTGCCTCCTCATCAGTACCCATCAGTGCAGCCTATCAGTGCCCATCACTGCAGCCTCATTAGCGCACATCAGTGAAGGAAAAAAATTACTCATTTACAAAATTTTATAACAGAAACAAAGAGAAAAACTTTTTTTAACCACTAGCCTACAGGGCACTTATACCCTCTTCCTGCCCAGGCCAATTTCCAGATTTTAGCACTGTTTCACTTTGAATGACAATTGCGCAGTCATGCAACACTGTACCCAAATGAAATTTTTCTTATTTTTTTGTGACAGCTTTATTTTGGTGGTATTTAATCACCTCTGGGTTTTTTATTTTTTCTTAAACCAAAAACCACTAAAAAGTTTGAAAAAAAAGTTTTTTCTTAGTTTTTGTTATAAAATTTTGTAAATAAGTGATTTTTCTGCTTCACTGATGTGCGCTAATGAGGCTGCAGTGATGGGCACTGATAGGCTGCACTGATGGACACTGATGAGGAGGCACTGGTAGGTGGCACTGATGGGCATTGACAGGCATCACTGATGGGCACTGAAAGGCAGCACTCATATATGGCACTGATAGACGGCACTGACTGGCACTGTTAGGTGGCATTAACTAGCACTGTTAGACAGCACTGACGGGCACTGATAGGCGGCAGTGATGCACACTGATAGGCGGCACTGACTGGCACTGATAGGTGGCACTGATTAGCAGCACTGACTAGCATTGATAGGTGGCACTGATGGGTGACACTGAAAGGCAGCTCAGATGGGCACTGAAATGTGGCACTGGCAGGTGGCATGGATGAGCACTGAGAGCTGGTACTGATGGACACTGACAGGTGGCGCTGCTGGGGCTACACAGATCATCAGGGCACACTGATCATCAGTGCCCTGATGATCTGTGTACAAGTCCCCTCCGAGGAATGCCGATTACCGGCTCTCCTTTCCTCACGAGCTGTCAGCGTGTGACAGAACGAGAGAACCACCTTGCATCCGTCATATTACTATATGTCAGGCGGGAGGCGGTTAAAAAACATTTTCAGTTGTTTTTGGTTTGTTTATCAAAAAATAAAAAACCCAGTGGTGATTAAATAACAACAAAAAAAGCTCTGTCTTATAAAAATTTCATATGGGCAGTGTTGCATGATCGCGCAATTGTCATTTAAAGTGCGGCATCGCTGAAAGCCTGAAATTTGCTTGGGCGTGAAAGTGCCTGGTAGACAAGCGGTTAAGGAGGAAATAATTGCAAGCTCCATGGAGCTCTATGAGCAGGCTGATGTAAACAAAGTTGGGTCAGTTTACACCTGCCTAACTCCAGATCTGTCCAGGTCCGGAATAAAGGGAAAACCACTGCAGCCTTGTTTTTCTGGACCTAAACGTAATGGATTAGAGGTATTCCCATCCACAGAACCATTCCGGGTCCGCAAAGGTCTGCTGTGTGAATATACGGACACAAACTGAAGAGGCATGGATATAAAAACTGACATCTGTCCCATTCAGCATTGATCCAGCAGGGGATCCACTCACAGAACTGCTGCTGAATGGAGCGGAGTGGCTTTGTGTGAAAGAACCCTTAGGACCGGCTCACACCATAGAAACACAGTCCAGATGCGTTTCTGCATGCGTTTTTTTTTTGACGTGTTCTAGTGCTTTTTTGATGTGTTCTGGTGTGTTTTTGATGCTTTCCCGTTATTTTTTTTTTCCTCTTTGTCTTCACTTTAAATAGGGACATGTGCGTTCCAGTGCATTTTTGGTGCGCTCCAGTGCGTTTTCCACATTCCAGTACAGTTCTGTGCAGAAAAAATGCAGCCTGTTCCACTTTTTCTTCTGCAACCGGAACGCACTGGAACTGCAAGCGCTGATGTGAACTATGACATTGACAACCAAATAACCTACTGTGTGTTTTGGATGCAGAAAAAAAGCAACTGAAACGCATGTAGTGTGAACTGGCCCTTCAAAGCTGATTGGTTGCCATGCACTCTTGTTCTAGTTTTCATAAATTCTGCTCATAACACATCTACGGCCCCATTCATAGTGCGTGATTTGGAACTCCGGGCAAAAACGATGCGATTCCACCCGTAATCCCAAATCGCACTTAAATTGCGGCCACTCATTCTTAATGGCACCTCCTACACAATGAGATTTTGTTATGATTGTTGCATGGCAGAAACGTGCATAAAAAAATTACATGAAGCTCATCGCCCAAAAAGGCGCAGAAGTATTTTTTGTGCGACAAGTGCACAGAGGGCACCCCGTTCAAGCTTCCCTATGCAGGTCGCATGGAGACATGTAAAAAAAACACCCACACAAAATCATGAGCGGGAACGTGCTTTCACACTGCCAAGTGCAAATGGGGCCTTACCTGTTGTTTCCACAATGCATTGTGACATACTGAATGACAATGCCACAATCTGTCCGGTAAATAACAATCTATACAGATTCAAGTATACTAGTTTAACTACCTTCCTTAGTACAATGACGGGAGCAAGGTGGTTTCTCTCGTTCTGATAGGACGTCATATGACGTCCTACCATTCTCACTGCGCATGCGTGGCTCAGGGAGCGCGCAGCACTGCGATCGCCGGTCCGCTGTGTCCCTCGGACACAGCGGATCACGGAAAGAGCCGAAGATGTTGGCTCGGTCATGTGATCAGCTGTGTCCAATCACAGCTGATCACGACTGCGGAGGGGACATGTACACTGATCATCAGGGCAGTGATGATCAGTGTGCCCTGATGATCAGTGTGGCCCCAGAAGTGCCACCTGTCAGTGTCCATCACTGCCAGCTCTCAGTGCTCATCAGTGCCACATGCCAGTGCCCATCAGTGCCACATCAATGCCACATATCAGTGCATACCAGTGCACATCAATGCCACATATCAGTGCCCATCTGAGCTGCCTTTCAATGTTACCCATCAGTGCCACCTATCAATGCCAATCAGATCAGTGCCACCTATCAGTGTTGCCAATCAGTGCCACCTATCAGTGCCAGTCAGTGTCGCCTATCAGTGCCAGTCAGTGCCGCCTAACAGTGCCAGTCAGTGCTGCCTAACAGTGCCAGTCAGTGCCGTATATCAGTGTCATGTATCAGCGCTGCCTTTCAGTGCCCATTAGTGATGTCTGTCAATGCCCATCAGTGCAACCTACCAGTGCCTCCTCATCAGTGCCCATCAGTGCCACCTATCAGTGTCCATCAGTGCAGCCTATCAGTGCCCATCACTGCAGCCTCATTAGCGCACATCAGTGAAGGAGAAAAATCACTTATTTACAAAATTTTATAACAAAAACTAAGAAAAAACTTTTTTTTTTCAAAATTTTCAGTGGTTTTTGGTTTGTTTAAGAAAAAATAAAAAAAACCCAGATGTGATTAAATACCACCAAAAGAAAGCTCTATCTGTCACAAAAAAATGATAAAAAATTTCAAATGGGTACAGTGTTGCATGACTGCGCAATTGTCATTCAAAGTGTGACAGCGCTGAAAGCTGGAAATTGGCCTGGGCAGGAAGGGGGTATAGGTGCCCTGTAGGCAAGTGGTTAATCTTCTGTTCTGGGAGGTGAGACTAATTGTTGGGAAAAAAAAAGAAAAATTTTAGCCGCCCAACGTGGGGCTCGAACCCACGACCCTGAGATTAAGAGTCTCATGCTCTACCGACTGAGCTAGCCGGGCACTTGGAGGCAAGCATTGTAATTGACTAGAAGAGACTCTAATTATGGGCGTGTCGGATAAGCCGCAGAACACGGGGTATGAAAGTGGTTGGGGGGCGGGGCGGTGGAGTTTAGAGAACTGAGTGTGAACATGTCGGCGGGAAGTGAGATGAGCGGTCCGGTTTCCCCGGGACCTGCCCTGCCAGTGTGTGCGGCTCTGGGTCTGGTCTCCTTGCTGTGCTTCATGGCTGGGTTCGGTACTGGAGTGGAGTTCGTGCGGTTTCTGTCATTCGGAGCGCTGCTGAGGAATATCAGTGAAGGGTCGGAGGGTGAGTGAACATGGCGGGAAGGTTCTGGTGCCTTTCTCTGGACCCGGAGGCGATGAGGGGAGTTCATGTGAGGGCGGGTCACGTGCTTCTTAAAGGTGCCCCGCAGGTGCCTGATGGTCCTGTGTGCCATGGTCAGTGTTCGGCCCTGAAGGTCTCCACCCTGTATAATAGGATTGTACAGTTCCTATAGGTCTAACACACATTGGAGACACTCCTTGTCCCTCCAAAGCCATCACTGGGCAGCTGGCAGGCAGGGCGCCCCTCAGCGCTGGGTTTACCTGGTGCACGCTGGACACTTCGGCCGGATCTCCTCAGCGCCTTTCTTCCTGGTAGTAAAAGAGCAATTGATGCTTGTAAAGGCGTTTAGGCTCATCAAGCGCTTGGGTGTCATTTTGTTGGCCAGAATAGTTGATTCCGGCCATTGAAATCAGTCGTTAAGCGCTAAATGTGCCCAAAAAATGTGTTACGTGCGTTTACAAGGGCCAAGCATTTGTTTTCTTTTTTGGAGCAAGAAGTCCGCTCTGCTCCTGGACGCACTGGTGGTAGGATTTTTTTTTTCTGCCTCTAAACACTTGTGTTAATGAGCCCATAGGATAACATGGAGGCAGAAAGAAAACCCACCAGATGCCCCTAGGAGCGGTGTACTTGAGGCCTTAAAAGCCTTCAGCACAAGTGCTTCCGCTGTGGCCCCATTCACTTGAATGGCTTGTGTTAGGCCTAAGGCCCCTTTCACATGCACCTTCCATTTTCACAGATCAGTTTTTCACATCCATACCAATGCATAAATGGACAGTTATTTTTTTTGTTTGGTTTTCATCCGTTCTGTTTTTTTGGAACAAAAATGTCGACTTGTTCCGTTTAAAAACGAAGACCAGAACAGAAGCTGACAACTGATGTGAATGGATGGCATCTGTTTGCCCATAGAAATGCATTGCTGTCCATTTTTCATCCATCAGCAGATGAAAAAGAGAGACGGAACGGCGGCGTGAAAGGACCTTTATTCACATTGGGTAATTCCATCTGTACCCTGTGCAGGGCGCTGTGTTGTCACAGGTGCCGCGTGCATCCCTGTGCTGGCAGTCCCATTGTTGTCTATGGGGACACAGCTGCTGCTCCCAGTCTGTGGGGGTGCAGTTCCTCGAAATCACCCTGTGTGTGCGTTTGGATATTTAGACCCACACAAGTGTCATATTGGGCCACAGTTGCTGTGTTCCTATAAGGAACAATGGGGCTGCTTGCACGAGGATGCACACAACAACTCTGCATCCCCATGGCAGTAAAACAGGGCTCTGCATGGGGCATGGATGTCACCCCCCCCCCACTGTATGAACAAGGCCTCACACGGTGGTAATGCCTGCCAAAAGTAACAGGGGGATATAACTGAGACAGCAGAATGTGAACAATACTGTCTGGCTGCCTTTGCAGCTTAGTCTTCGGTCACAATGAATCCAATGTTGAAATTGTGCGAGTTTACTTGAAGTTGCGTGATTTCAAAGTCGGATGTCAGTGTGACTTCGAAGACATCTGTGTGACTTCATGCACAGATGTTATTCAAGTTGCACCTGAACTTGCAAGAAGTAGTGCATGAACTGCTTTCAAAATCTGTGCGACTCCAACAGATTCCGTCACACTGATTTGACTGCTTCCATTGCAGACAGTAGGGTGCGACTTGTCATGTGATTTGAAATCATCTAATCGCATGACAAGTCGCACAGGTGTGACTGGGAACTTGAGGAGGGGGCTATAAAACCACTGTTATGTTTTTATCCCCCCCCCCCCCCACCGCAAGTATAAGCGAGCCCTTAGACTTCATTCACGTGTGCAGCAGAGGGGCAGTAAAACCAGGCAGTTGAGCTGTTTTACAGTCTGCCTGAGCACTGGCATACAATTTCAGCAAAACTTAACATGTTGCTTTTGTCAGGTGGTGCCTCGCTAAATGCAACTAATGCATGGGGCTGCTCTGCAACTGGGTACTCAGTTGTGGTGTGGTAGTATGCCAACTATAGGGTTAAGTCCGGTGCAGAGGAGGCAACATGATGCCTCAACACTACCGGTCTAATACCTTCGAAAAGCAATTTGAGTGTGGATCGCTTTTCAGAGGAGTGGCAGTCTGTGCTACATGTAAATGATGTTCTTCAGGGGCGTGCCAAATTAGGATTGGTAAACTAACATATATTTTTGTTCTTGGATTTAAAAACTTTAAAACCCTGTCAGTTTTTTTTTACTGCCTCTATTCCGTTGGGTAGATTTTACTTCGTTTTTTGTCCTGTTGATATCTGCAAAGGGAGATGGGATTACAAATGCAAATACAGAGTTTTGAAATTTGTAATCGACCTGGACATGTTCCCACCTCATGTGCTCGTGTGTGGCACCGCACCAAGCACTGTTGGAATAGAAGGTGGCAGGCATTGTGTGTTTTATCAATATGAAAGGATCCAATACAGTGTGTAAAACTGACTTTCGGGCACAAAAGCTTTTATTTAAATACACTGCTCAAAAAAATTAAAGGAACACTTTTTAATCAGAGTATAGCATCAAGTCACACTTCTAGGATATTGATCTGGTCAGTTAAGTAGCAGAGGGGGTTGTTAATCAGTTTCAGCTGCTTTGGTGTTAATGAAATTAACAGGTGCACTAGATGGGCAACAATGAGACAACTCCCAAAACAGGAATGGTTTTACAGGTCGAGGCCACTGGCATTTTTTTTCCCTACTCATCTTTTCTGACTGTTTTTCACTAGTTTTGCATTTGGCTAGGGTCAGTGTCACTACTGGTAGCATGAGGCGATACCAGGACCCTACAGAGGTTGCACAGGCAGTCCAACTCCTCCAGGATGGCACATCAATATGTAACCATTGCCAGAAGGTTTGCTGTGTCTTCCAGCACAGTCTCAAGAGTATGGAGGAGATTACAGGAGACAGGCAGTTACTCTAGGAGAGCTGGACAGGGCCATAGAAGGTCCTTAACCCATCAGCAGGACCGCTATCTGCTCCTTTGTGCAAGTAGGAACAGGATGAGCACTGCCAGAGCCCAACAAAATGACCTTCAGCAAGACCATTGGTGTGAATGTCTCTGACAATCAGAAACAGACTTCATGAGGGTGGCCTGAGGGTCCGACATCCTCTAGTGGGCCCTGTGTTCACTGCCCGGCACCATAGAGCTCGATTGGCATTTGCCATTGAACACCAGAATTGGCAGGTCCGCCACTGGCGCCCTGTGATTTTCACAGATGAGAGCAGGTTCACACCTGAGCACGTGACAGACATGAAAGGGTCTGGAGAAGCCGTGGAGAACGTTATGCTGCCTGTAACATCGTTTAGCATGACCACTTTGGTGTTGGGTCAGTGATGATCTGAGGAGGTATATCCATGGAGGGATGCACAGACCTTTACAGGCTAGACAATGGCACCCTGACTACCATTAGGTATCGGGATGAAATCCTTGGACCCATTGTCAGTCCCTACGCTGGTACAATATTGCTTATCTCTAAGCTCAGCTGTATTACACCTAACTAAGATAAATGTTAAAAATGGTGTTCCCTGCAAAGAAGGTATTTGCCTGCACTGCTACCCTATGGTGACGAGAAACTGCTAGGTGAAGAATCTTCTGACACTCAGGTGGTCTTCCTGGTCTCCAGCCATGCACTCTCATTCCCCCATCCGCTTTGTCCTGTAGTGACGTAGATGGCTGAATTGTCAGATTGTGAAGACTCTTCAGCTGGAGGTTCTCTTTGTCATAGCATAGATTGACAGTGCAAGTCACGATTGGAGATGAGTATATACTAACTTCTTTCCTAGAAATATTTTATTTTCAGTATTCAGCCTAGGTTCACACCTTTGCGTGTTTTGTGGGCTGCGTTTGCATGGACACGGCAGCCCTTTCATTTGAATGGGCTGCCGTGCCTCGCAAAATGCAGGGAAAAGGTCCCTGCGCCTTTCCAGAAATAGCAGCCTGCACAGCAACCACACTACATTGTGGTTCCCAGTGCTGGTGTGATTTTCAGTGTGGGCGGCGTGCCATGAATGTTAATGGCACTTGCCCGCCGTGGGTCCCGCGTTTTTTGTGCAGCTGTTGTTACAAAGTGTGTCCCGCAGCAGCTTCCACCTGCACTAATGTGCACCAAGCCTTAAACATAATCAGTTCAATTTTGTATAGAACGGTCCACTTTTGAACCTGTACATAGATTGACATTTGCTAACTGTCATTTTTCTTTTCACAGGTGAGTCCCCTCTGCTGTGGCGAGATGCTATTGGAGACTCTCAATTCCTGCGCTCTCTCGGAATCAATGTGGCCTTGCTTCTTGTATTTGTTTTCCAGCACAGCCTCATGGCCTGGCCTCCATTAAAGGAGTGGGTGATTCGGGTGTTTGGAGTTCTTCAGCGATCCGTTTATATATTGTGCACTGCTGTCTCCCTCCAGGTATTGTCAGTCTTATTAAAAAGTATCATGGATACACCTTTTGTTATACATTTTCTACTAGAATAAGAAAAAAAAATAGTTGACTACACTTGTTTTTAAATTTATCATAAACTTTAGTAATAAGGGAGTTTTCCTTGATGTGATAAGACTTCATTTTCAGTTCAATGGCTATCATGCATATGTTATTTTCAACAGTAATTGTTGTTTTTAGCCATGTGATTGCTTTTTCTATTGGATAGAATTACATTGGCCTTTATAGCACTTTAGCATTATACCTTAAATTGTATTTCCACCGTTTGCAAAGGAACAGGTTTTTTTTTTTTTTGTTTATTAACATACAGTGTATCATCCAAGCCTAGAGACCATTAAGCCTTTTGTTAGGACAAATATTGAGCACATGGTTTACAAGCTGATTTACAACAGCACAGACAGGGTTATTTATGTTAAACATTAACTCCAACGCTTCCCTCCTTAATATTACTTTGAAAGGAAAGCTGAGCAGGATTACTTTATGCAAGTAAAAATGTGAACAGCAGTTTTATTTATTTTTTTATTTAAATTGTTACTAAACCCAAGACCTTGCATTCACTATATCAGGTCTCCCACAGTACACAGAACATATAAACGCAATTATTTTAGTAAATATAGACTGCTAAATACCTTTTCTCATTAGCAGTATATTGCAGTCTTGTGACTTCTATCAGTGTCCAGCTGAGCACTGGTTAATCTTGTAGGAGGAGTTTTCATTCTCTTTGGACTGTCATATGACTGTCTCACCGGCCTACCCAAGTGTAGGCTCTCCCCGCTCCAGACCATCCTGAACTCAGCGGCTAGACTCATCCACCTCACCACCCCCACTCCACCTCTGCCACCCCCCTCTGCCTCTCCCTCCACTGGCTCCCGATTGCCCAACGCATCAAATTTAAACTTCTAACCCTGACCTACAAAGCCGTTCACAACACTGCCCCTGACTACCTCACCAACCTGATCCCCAAGTACCGCCCTACCCGTACCCTTCGCTCCTCACTGGACCTCCTTCTATCCTGCTCCCTGGTCTCCTCCTCCCATGCACGACTGCAGTACTTCTCCAGGTCCTCCCCCATCCTCTGGAACTCACTGCCCCAATCCATCAGACTGTCGCCTTCCCTCTTCACATTCAGGCGCTCCCTCAAAACCCATCTCTTCAGGAAGCCTACCCCACCCTCACCTAACGGCCATTCTCCCTCTTTCCTCCCACCCCTCATTCCCCTCAGCCACTTCCTACTGTACCTTTACCCCCTGCCTCCTAGATTGTAAGCTCGAAAGAGTAGGGCCCTCTTACCCCTCGTACGTTGTTTGTTATTGTTGTACTGTGCCATGTATTGTCCCCCCCTCTATTGTACAGCGCTGAGCAAACCCTTTGGCGCTATATAAACTCGATGTAATAATAATAAATAATATGAGGCTGCATGACCCTTGACCTCTGTCTGGACAGGGCTGATTGGACCTGTGCTGATCACATGCACCCTCCCAAAAAAGAAAACTCTCTAGCCATACTCGCCAAACTGAGCAGGTGCAGAGTGCTTCCTAGGGCTCTGTACTTTCAGCAGATGGATGGGGACTGTAGAAGGGTGTCAGGGAGCGATGAGCCAGACACACAAGGAGGTGCAATAAAAGGTAGGTTTACTGTACAAAAACAAGACAGTCTATGCAAGTGCAACAGCGGATGACTGGGTAGGACAGTAGCAGGAAGGATGGTCGCCAGAGCCGGGGTCAGAAGCCAGGAAGGATGGTCGCCAGAGCCGGGGTCAGAAGCCAGGAAGGATGGTCGCCAGAGCCGGGGTCAGAAGCCAGGAAGGATGGCCGCCAGAGCCGGGGTCAGAAGCCAGGAAGGAGTCGTGCCAAAACCGAGTCGATATCCAGGAGAGCACTGAGACACTAACAGGAGCTTGTTGCAATTCAACAGACAGGACACGAATGCAAAGAGCAGCTGCAAACAGCAGGCTTAAATGTGATAAGCCACCACCTCCTGAAGGAGGAGCCGCAGAGGCTTGAAAGCATAAAGGATCCCACAGTGCTTTGCAGAAACCTAAGATGGATGCCAGCACATGGAGCAACACAAGCTCTGAGGAAAGGTAGGACCTTGACAGTACCTCCTCCTCAAGGGCCCCTCCCCCTCCGCGGCTCAACATAAGGCTTCTGGGGAAAGCGGGTGTGAAAAAGCGCGGAGGAGGGCAGGCGCATGAACATCCACGGAGGGAACCCAGGAACGCTCCTCGGGACCATAACCATGCCAATGGACCAGGAACTGCACCCGACCGCGGACCAACCGAGAGTCCAGGATGCGGCTCACCTCATACTCCTCATGACCGTCAACCCGGATAGGACAAGGCCGAGGCGGAGAGGCAGTAAAGCGATTACAGACCAGAGGCTTCAACAGGATACGTGGAAGACATTGGAGATACGCATCCCAGGAGGAAGAGCAAGGGCACAGGCAACCAGGTTCACCCTGCGGAGGATGCGGAAAGGACCAACAAAACGGGGAGCCAGTTTCGGTGCGGGCACCCGCAGATTGAGGTTACGAGTGGACAACCACACCCGATCTCCGACCTGGTATGAAGGAGCGGGCAACCGTCTACGATCAGCTTCTGGCGCTGTGCTAAGTCCTTCAAGGACCTCTGGATCTGCCCCCACGAGGAACGCAGGGCAGCAAGATGGTTCTCCACAGATGGAATGTCCTGTGGCGAGAACTCAGGCAATACAGCGGGTTGGAACCCATAGTTGGTCATGAAGGGAGACATCCCAGAGGAGGAGTTGACAGCCGAGTTCCTCGCAAACTCTGCCCATGGCAGGAGATCGACCCAATTGTCTTGATGGTCAGAGATATAGCAGCGAAGGAATTGTTCCAGGGCCTGGTTGGAACGCTCCGCAGCCCCATTGGACTGCAGGTGGTAGGCCGAAGAGAAGGAGAGCTTGATACCCAACTGGGAGCAGAAGGCGCACCAGAACCTGTACACAAACTGGCTCCCACGGTCCGAGACAATCACCTTGGGCAACCCATGCAAGCAAAAGATCTCCCTGGCGAAAACCATAGCCAGTTCTTGCGCAGTCGGCAATTTCTTGAACGGAACACGATGGCACATCTTGGAAAAATGATCAATGACCATAAGAATGACCGTATGGCCTTAAGACGCAGGGAGGTCCACAATAAAATCCATGCCCAGGTGTGACCAGGGACGCTCCCCATTAGGAATGGGTTGCAGAAGGCCCAATGGAAGATGCCAAGAAGATTTATTCTGGGCACAGACCGAACATGCCGCTACATATGAGGCGATGTTGGAACGGAGAGATGGCCACCAGAATAACCGAGAAACGACCCAGGACAACTTGTTCCTCCCTGGATGACCGGCAGTCTTGGAATTATGGTAGGTACGCAGCAGGCGGGTACGCAATCCCTCAGGTACGAAACATCTGCCAGCCGGTCTCTCGGGGAGCATCAGTTTGAGCCGCCAAAATCTGCTCCCCAAGGGGAGAAGTCAGGTTGGTACGAATGGCAGCCAGGATCTTGTCCAGAGTATGACCGAGGTTGGCTCAGAGTCCTCCCTGGACAGCTCAGAGTATTGCCTCGACAAGGCATCAGCCCTGACATTCTTGGAGCCAGGCAAAGGATACCACATAGTTAAAACGCGACAAGAACAGAGCCCATCTGGCCTGACGGGGCGTCAACCTCTTAGCCTCCGAGAGATACGTCAGGTTCTTGTGGTCAGTGAGAATGAGAACCAGAACCGCAGAACCCTCGAGCAGGTGCCTCCATTCCTTGAGAGCCTGAATAATGGCCTACAACTCCCTGTCTCCAGTCTGGTAGTTGCATTCTGCGGAGGAAAGCTTCCTGGAGTAGAACCCACAGGGAAGTAGGGGTCCATCGGGTGACCGACGCTGAGACAAGAGGGCGCCTACTCCCGTCTCAGAAGGATCAACCTCGAGGACAAAAGGCAACCGGGATTGGGATGAGACCGTATCGGAGCCAAAGCGAAGGCGGATTTCAGAGCTTCGAAAGCTAAGGTGGCCTCGGGTGACCACTCGTGAGGATTACTGCCCTTCTTGGTCAGATCTGAGAGAGGCTTGGATAGCGTGGAGAAGTTTCTGATAAACTTCCGATTAATAAGTTGGTGAATCCCAAAAAGTGCTGAATGGACCGAAGACCACTGGGACGAGGCCACTGTAGAACCGCCGAAACCTTCTGAGGGTCCATGGAAAAACCCACAGCGGAAATGATGTAGCCCAAAAAGGGGACCTGGGATCGGTGAAATTCGCACTTCTCCAGCTTACAGAAAATCTCGTTCTCACGTAACCGTTGCAGCACCCACTTAACATCCTGGATATGAGACTCCCTAGACGCAGAGTAAACCAGGATGTCGTCCAAGTAAACCACCACGCACTGCTGCTGCAACAAGTTACGAAAGACATCATTAATGAACTCCTGAAAGACCGCGGGCGCGTTACACAACCCGAAGGGCATGACCAGGGATTCATAGTGGCCGGTTCTGGTGTTGAACACGGTCTTCCACTCGTCGCCCTCCTTGATCCGTACGAGGTTGTACGCAGCCCTAAGGTCGAGTTTAGTAAAGACCGTTGCTCTCTTGAGGCGGTCAAACAACTCAACGGAATAGGGTAAGCATTCTTAATCGTGATTCGATTGAGGCCCCTAAAATCAATTCAAGGCCTCAACTCACCGCCCTTCTTTTTCACGAAGAAAAAGCCAGCTCCTGCTGGAGAAGTAGACTTGCGAATGTGCCCCCGGGAAAGCGCATCCGCAACGTACTCCTCCATGGCCTGATTCTCCGCAACCGAAAGAGATACACCCTGCCACGCGGAGGAGTGGCACCAAGTTGTAAGTCTATGGCACAATCGTATGGACGATGAGGAGGCAGAGCAACGGCGCGCACCTTGTCAAACACGTCCAGGTACTCCCCCGTATTCAGTGGGCAACACAGAGTCCGAGGAGGCACACAACACCTTAACAAATCCACGGATTCAATCGACCACACACTATGGAGACCATGAGAGGATCTCGGCCAACCGCCAATCAAAGGTCGGATTGTGCTTCTGAAGCCAGGGATAGCCCTAAACCACGGAGTAGTGCAGGGAAGAAATTACCTGGAAACAGGCCAACTCCCTGTGAACAGCCCCAATAGCTACTTGAACCGCAGGGTCTCGTGGGTAACCTGCGACGGTTGCAGAGGCCTGCCATCTATTGTCTCGAGGGCCAAAAGGAGTAACTCGAGCCTGCAGAGGAATGGAGTACTGGGCAGCAAACAAACTGTCCATAAACAACCCGCCAGCACCAGAGTCTACCAACGCCTGGGCCGTCACCGAGCTCTCCACCCAAGAGAGGACAACGGTGATTAGCAGTTTATCTTTACGGGAAACCGGGGACGAGGAAACTCCACCCAAGATCTGCCCCCGACAGGATCTCAGGTGCGAGCGCTTCCCGGACGGACCGGACAGGACTGCCGAAAATGCCCACCGAGACCACAGTACAGTCAGCACCCTCCGACGCTGAGAGGCCCGCTCCCCCTCTGAAAGGCAAGCAAACCCCAGCTGCACGGGCTCACCGCCAGACAAACCATCCCCAGAAGGCGTGGGAGGAGAGGGAGCAACGGGTGATACAGAAAACGTAGGCGCCAATCGGTTAGGAGGCCTCCGCAGATGCGCCTTTAATGAAGGCCTCTCTCTGAGCCTGGTGTCAATCAGGATTAGGAAGGAAATGAGTGCCTCGAGCTCCACAGGCAATTCTTTGGCTGCAATCTCATCCTTCAACGCATCTGAGAGACCATGAGAGAAAGCAGCCACCATAGCCTCATTGTCTCAACCCACCTCTGCCGCTAGGATACGAAATTCTATGGCGTACTCGGCAACGGTTCGTGAACCCTGATACATGGACATGAGCAGCTTTGCAGCAGAGGCAGCGAGCAGGCACATCGAATACCCTACGGAAGGAGGCAGCAAAACCTGCTAACTTGTGAATCACAGGGTTATCGTTCTCCCATAAGGGATTTGTCAAGGCCTTGTCCGAGAGCAGCGAGATTAGGAAGCCCACCTTTGACCTCTCCGTAGGAAAAGCGTGGGGTATCAATTCAAAATATATGCCCACTTGGTTAAGGAAACCCCGACACTGACTCGGCTGACCCCCAAAGCGCTGCGGAAGGGGGCCTGAGCCAGTCATGCCTCTGGGCACTGCAGGTGCGGCAGCAGATGCGGAGGTAGGCGCAACAACCGGAGCAACAGCAGGAGCGACCATAGGAGTGACAACCGGCCTAATAGCACCAGGAGCAAGGTGCGCTGTGCGTGCAAGCAGGGTTTGCAACACCTGAGTGAACTGATTTAACAAGCGATCCTGCTGATCAAGTCTGGCAACCAACCTAGGGAGCGAGAGCGTACCTGCACTGTCAGGATTCATGGCATTCGTGTAGTGTCAGGGAGCGATGAGCCAGACACGAGGTGCAATAAAAGGTAGGTTTATTGTACAAAAATAAGACAATCTATGCAAGTGCAACAGCGGATGACTGGGTAGGACAGTAGCCCAGGAAGGATGGTCGCCAGAGCCGGGGTCAGAAGCCAGGAAGGATGGTCGCCAGAGCCGGGGTCAGAAGCCAGGAAGGATGGTCGCCAGAGCCGGGGTCAGAAGCCAGGAAGGATGGTCGCCAGAGCCGGGGTCAGAAGCCAGGAAGGATGGTCGCCAGAGCCGGGGTCAGAAGCCAGGAAGGATGGTCGCCAGAGCCGGGTCAGAAGCCAGGAAGGAGTCGTGCCAAAACCGAGTCGATATCCAGGAGAGCACTGAGACACTAACAGGAGCTTGTTGCAATTCAACAGACAGGACACGAATGCAAAGAGCAGCTGCATACAGCAGGCTTAAATGTGATAAGCCACCACCTCCTGGAGGAGGAGCCGCAGAGGCTTGAAAGCATAAAGGATCCCACAATGCTTTGCAGAAACCTAAGATGGAAGCCAGCACATGGAGCAGCACAAGCTCTGAGGAAAGGTAGGACCTTGACAAAGGGGGGATCAGAGAAGACAGGATCATGCAGCCTATTTGCACAATGTAGAGGATTAACCACTTAGGTTCCACAGTGAGTAAAACAACCATGGTTTATTGCATATACAGACTGATTTTACTGTTGTGGGTTTAGTAACACTTGAAGTTTGTGCTGTGTAAATGGTAACGTGTAACAACATTAAAGTAGGTATTATCCCAGTATGGAAACTATTAAAATGGAGAGGTTTGCTTTAGACTAAAAACGCCTAGTTTGGAAAAGGGGGCGTATTTTTTTTTTTTATATATTTATTTACAGTCCGGTCCATAAATATTGGTACATCGACACAATTCTAACATTTTTTTGGCTCTATACACCACCACAATGGATTTGAAATGAAACGAACAAGATGTGCTTTAACTGCAGACTGTCAGCTTTAATTTGAGGGTATTTACATCCAAATCAGGTGAACGGTGTAGGAATTACAACAGTTTGCATATGTGCCTCCCACTTGTTAAGGGACCAAAAGTAATGGGAGAGAATAATAATCATAAATCAAACTTTCACTTTTTAATACTTATTTGCAAATCCTTTGCAGTCAATTACAGCCTGAAGTCTGGAACGCATAGACATCACCAGACGCTGGGTTTCATCCCTGGTGATGCTTTGCCAGGCCTCTATTGCAACTGTCTTCAGTTCCTGCTTGTTCTTGGGGCATTTTCCCTTCAGTTTTGTCTTCAGCAAGTGAAATGCATGCTCAATCGGATCCAGGTCATGTGATTGACTCGGCCATTGCATAACATTCCACTTCTTTCCCTTAAAAAAACTCTTTGGTTGCTTTTGCAGTATGCTTTGGGTCATTGTTCATCTGCACTGTGAAGCAGCTTCTAATGAGTTCTGAAGCATTTGGCTGAATATGAGCAGATAATATTGCCCGAAACACTTCTTAATTCATCCTGCTGCTTTTGTCAGCAGTCACATCATCAATAAATACAAAAGAACCAGTTCCATTGGCAGCCATACATGCCCACGCCATGACACTACCACCACCATGCTTCACTGATGAGGTGGTATGCTTAGGATCATGAGCAGTTCCTTTCCTTCTCCATACTCTTCTCTTCCCATCACTCTGGTACAAGTTGATCTTGGTCTCATCTGTCCATAGGATGTTGTTCCAGAACTGTGAAGGCTTTTTTAGATGTCGTTTGGCAAACTCTAATCTGGCCTTCCTGTTTTTGAGGCTCACCAATGGTTTACATCTTGTGGTGAACCCTCTGTATTCACTCTGGTGAAGTCTTCTCTTGATTGTTGACTTTGACACACCTACCTCCTGGAGAGTGTTCTTGATCTGGCCAACTGTTGTGAAGGGTGTTTTCTTCACCAGGGAAAGAATTCTTCGGTCATCCACCACAGTTGTTTTCCATGGTCTTCCGGGTCTTTTGGTGTTGCTGAGCTCACCGGTGCGTTCCTTCTTTTTAAGAATGTTCCAAACAGTTGTTTTGGCCACGCCTAATGTTTTTGCTATCTCTCTGATGGGTTTGTTTTGTTTTTTCAGCCTAATGATGGCTTGCTTCACTGATAGTGACAGCTCTTTGGATCTCATCTTGAGAGTTGACAGCAACAGATTCCAAATGCAATGCAAATAGCACACTTGAAATGAACTCTGGACCTTTTATCTGCTCATTGTAATTAGGATAATGAGGTAATAAACACACACCTGGCTGTGGGAACAGCTGAGAAGCCAATTGTCCCATTACTTTTGGTCCCCTTTAACAAGTGGGAGGCACATATGCAAACTGTTGTAATTCCTACACCGATCACCTGATTTTGGATGTAAATACCCTCAAATTAAAGCTGACAGTCTGCAGTTAAAGCACATCTTGTTCGTTTCATTTCAAATCCATTGTGGTGGTGTATAGAGCCAAAAATGTTAGAATTGTGTCGATGTCCCAATATTTATGGACCTGACTGTATAGGACTGTAAAAACACTTGCTTGTTTGTACAAAAAAGCTGTAGGGAAGAGCAGTGGGCTTACTATCTGATAACTGTAATGATGTTTGCTAGTGGGTGCTTTTATTTTCTCTCTTTATAGATCATGATGAGATATTGGCAGTCTTTCCCAAGTGGGCCCTTCCTGTGGAATGTCCCTACTGCTCCATGGAGTACATTATTCCCTGTAATCTGCGCTCTGCTACACACCATATCGTGGTTGCTTATTTTCAGTGTTTTACTTATTTTTGACTATGCAGAGCTCATGGGAATTAAGCAGGTAAGTGTGCTGTGTTGTACAACTTACCACGTTTGTTTCCTAGCTACTGTATGTTTCCAGGAACCAGAGATCTTTCTACTGCTAAAGTAAATTTAGGACAACAGTTTGAAGTTTTCAGCTTGTAATGATGGATTTAATACAGGTGAGTAAATACATTAGGGCATTTACTGTACCTCAAGGGCATTGGATAAATATGGGATTTACCCTTTGACTACCAAGGACATGTCTTGCACTTCATGGCAATCAGAGGGATTGAACAAGCCCACAGCTGCAATGGCAACAACAAGCTTGTTTTAAATCAAGTCTAAAGGATGTGGGATTTTAAATAAAGCCCCTGTGTAGCAAACAGTATAAGGCTGGCCATACATTATACATTTTTCTTGAGAATTGTTCTTTAGATTTACCAAAAACCATATAATATGAGCTCAAACCTAAACAACACTTTCAATTGTATCCAATTAGGCAGGCACTTGCACTACATATTTGAAGTTAAATCTAAAGGAAATTGGACAGAAAATTCTCTCTCTCTCTCTCTCTCTCCTCTCTCTCTCTCTCTCTCTCTCTCTCTCCCTCTCCCTCTCTCTCTCTCTCTCTCTCTCTCTCTCTCTCCTCTCTCTCTCTCTCTCTCTCCTTTCCCTCTCTCCTCTCCTCTCTCTCTCTCTCTCCCTCCTCCCCCCCCCCCCCCCAAAATGTTCCATAATTCTGTTGGCCCTTATTTGTCAGCCCACAATAGGTTGTGCAGTGTCCCTATAAGAGAAAAGCTATATAAGACAACCTGTAACATAAAAAATACTTGTTTAAAATTCTGTGATTTTTCAAAGAAAATCATTTAAAAAAAAAAATACATATAAAAATATATATATCTCCATCTTCCTTGTATACCCACTGTAATATTCCAAACTGTCCAAATTTAAGAATGTGTGTCTGTTTCTTCTTTTTAACAAACTTGTACAGCTTGCGATTCCCCTTATTTTGTGCACCATATAGTTATAGCAACCCCCACCTTTTGTACAATGGTGGACTATCTGGCAGCACATAGATGTCTTCAGAAAGAGCCAGCATTCTGCAGTTGGGATTAAGTGCTCTTTTATGTTTTCTGCCACATTATTTGCTTACGCAGTAGGTGACCTCCCTTCCACATTAGGCAGAAGTTTTCCTCTGCCCATTTGAGGCAGGCAGGACAACCCACATCCATTTGGCGCCACATACTCTTCTCCCCCAGCCCCAGTATTATGTGCAATTCGAGTTCGGGAACCACCTCCTACCCTAGGCCAGGGGCAGGTCCACCCAAAGGGCGGAAGTATGTAAACTGCCTTAGTGGAAGAGGGACATAGGAACCAAAATGCTTTCACTATCCCATCATAAACAAACAAGGTCTGAACTATCCCAGTATTATTTAAATAATAATATATTGAAAATGAAAAAAGTTTTAATGTCTTTGCACTTTGAATAAATATATATATATAAAATAACTTTTTAATATTAGTGTATATTACATATATATTTGGTCACCTTAAAGATTCATACAGAGAGGCATATTTGTTGTTTAAATTGAGGGATGTCGGTGCCCACCCATGTGACCCTTCCAATATGTATGTATGGTTTCTCAATGTCTTGCAGTAAAGGAACCCGGAAGCATCCAGCTCTGTGCACTTTGGTTTCAGAGCTTTCACATCCTGGTGGCTCAGGCACTGTTTGATCTGAAATGTCCATAAAGGGCATCTGTCATAATGCTATCCCATAGGGAGCTTGTCAGGTCCTGTATGATTGCAATAAAGTTAAATAAAAATTTAGTGTTTAAACCGCTTGCCCGCCGCCTTATAGTTGAAGTATTGCTACAGGGAGGCAGGGCTGCGCAAAATCATTTGCAATTCCATGTAGGGGGCACACGCGTGCCCTACCCGCACCGCCATTGCTGTGTTGGAAACAAACACAGCATTGATTAGAGCAGGGGAGCTGTGGGAGTTAACTTTTTGTATTAACCAGCTGGTGATTGGCTGCTAGGACTGCCCTACTTCCAATCAGCTGCTAGTTAACTTAAAAAGTACCCCGGCAGCTCCCGTGCTTTATTCAATGCTGTGCTGTGCTTCCCGCATCCAATCTAGAAATGTTATGAGAGCTTCTGCTCCTGCGCTCTGTTCAATACTGTGCTGTTATTCCACACTCGCTGCAGAAATGTTCTGTCTCCTGCTTTCCTGCTCTGCTGTTATAATTGTGGCAGAGAATGGGGGGGAAAGAAGCGGCTCCTAAATGGCATGACCGGGTCCAGATGAAACCGGCTAGGTCCACATCTGGACCGCGGTCCGCCATTTAATGATGCCTGATGTACAGCATTGTTTAACTGCGTAATTGTCAGTTAAAGTAATGCAGCGCAGTATCGCAAAGGCAAGTGGTTAAAAGCATGTATAAATGATCATTTCGTATCATTATCGGTGTTGTTACATACAGTAGAGTAATAGGAATAACTCTAGGAACATCATTTAAAGTGAAATCCTTAACTGATGAGCGCTGTAAAAACATTTGTCCATTTTAGGTATTGTATTTGCCATTTTCTTAGTCAGTGCAACTTTAAAAGGTTAAGGTCACCTGGTCATGTTATGCCAATATTTAGAGTGTAACGTGTAACATGCTCCAGCAGTCCCTGTACCCGCTGTCACTTTTCAAAAACAGCACTGTTTGTTTGGGGGGCCCCGTTCACACAGTCGTGTCATTCACTCACAAAAAAATTTATTTTTTTGGTTAAAAAAAAAAAAAATTTCAAAGCCTCTGGTTTGAGGCGTTTTTCCAGTGTTGGAGCGTTTTTACAGCTAAAAAACTCCTCTAGAAACCCACTAGTTCTGTTTTTTTTTTTTTTTTTTTGTTTGTTTTTTCCAGCCAAAAAACACCCCTACCAAAAAACGTTGATTACAGTCTGTGTGCATGGACACGTAGGATAACATGCTGGAGAGTTTACTGGCTGTAGAAGAAAAACGTCAAAAGCCAAAAACAGCAGCTGTAAAAACATCCAGTGTGCATGAGACTAACACCCATTGATTAGGGGTTCAATGCTTTGCAGGCTGCTGTAGGGGGAAAAATAATAAATGCTTTTTCTGTAAAAATATATGCATTTATTTTTTTCCCAAAAAAGTGAACTTTGTTTTTTTTAAGGTTTGACACATTTAGAATCCATATACTTTTACACAGCCTCATCTTTTTATATTTAAAAATTAAATAGAATTGGGATCACATTTTTCTGTACAGAATATAAATGTATTTTTTTACTGACAATGTAGATTTCATGAACAGTTGCACAAATGTCTTGCAACATAAGAAAAATAATTGCAACTACTAGCCTTTTTTAAGAACAAAAGTGAGTGTCTGGGGAAAAAAATAAACACCAGAAATCATGCCCACAAGCAGGGGCGGACTGACCATTGGGGAACTTGGGCACTGCCCGAGGGCCCGGGGTCAGTAGGGGGCCCCATGAGATGTTCCTGGTACCTTTCATAGGCTTTTTTGAGTGTGGGCAAGGATACAGGGGCCCCATGATCCCCTATTGCCCAGGGGCCCCATGAGTTGTCAGTCCGCTCCTGCCCACAAGACATGTCTGGTTGGGGTGTCTGCACAGGTTACACAGAGCTAATGTAAGTGCAGTGTTGCTATCATATGATTGTAATTGACCAAATTAGGCAACAATAGTGTCTTAACCTCCCTAGCGGTCTAATTATGTCCATATTTCTGTGCTCAAAGCGGTACATTTTTTTTGCATGGAAATATATATATTTTTTTTATTGTAGGCCTGTAATTTTTAGGAATAACTCACTGAAATCTGTCCGAACAAGAGTCTAGTGAACATCCCGGGTAGGATAAAACTTGAAACGCGAAATGATAAATTATAATTTAATAATCATAAAAAAATATAATAAATTAAATTCAATAATATAATCAAACCAAAAACACTGAAATTTGAAATATAGCGCCAAGTTCGCACATCACTGAGCAAAGTCGCAAAATCGTTTTCAGTGTCTGATGACGGATTTCCCCACGAATCATCACTCAATTCTGCAAGTGGTTCTAATTTACTATTGCTGTTCTCTAGCCGGTCTAAAACCGCTTTTGACCTAAAGGGACGCTTTTTGGACGCAATGGACGTTTCTCAGTTTCCAGGCAGAAAGAACAGTAAAAATGCAGGCAAAGCACTCGGTACAAAATGTATGTGAAATGGTTTGATAGAGTAATGTTTTACTATGTGATTTTAGTGAATGTCACTTGTTGTCATTTTCAAATTTCCCACCGTTCCGTCCCCCCGTACGTCCCGATGCTCGCAGGGGACGGAACCCAGATGACAGGTGCCGGCATTCGCCGGATTACATTGCCAGGGACACTGCAGGAGGGACATCGCGGGAGTGCAGGACAAGGTAAGTGATCGAGGGATCGTGGAGCAGCGCCATATGGTAAGCCCGAGTGTAGCTCGGGGTTACCGCTTGTAGCACTGAAACTTTACCCCGAGCTACACTCGGGAATACCGCCAGGGAGGTTAAAGAATAGCTAGTCTTGCATAAACTATAACTAGTATCAGCTGCACCAGTTTTGCTGGTTTTACATTCCCTGTTTAAATGCCAGAAGCTACAAGTGGGATAAGCATTCAAAGCTGCACTTTGTGCTGGTATTCCCAAGGTTCCCAACAACTTTGAAGGCAGGCAATGAGCTAAAGTATTTTAAACTCCATTCTGTTCATCTGACTTTTCTCACAGGTGTATTACCACTGCTTTGGAATGGGTGACCCCTTGTCTCATAAGTCTCCTCGTGCTGCTCGCCTCTATGCCCACCTCAGGCACCCTGTCTTTTTGGAATTACTTGTAATCCTGTGGGTGGTACCCTCCCTTCCTCCGGATCGTCTTCTCCTGGCCTCCGCCCTCACTCTGTACGTCTCCTGCGTTCATCGACTAGATGTTCAAGATTACAGCTACCTCCGTTCTCAGCTTGAGAAGAAGTTTTCACTTTTCACTCGTGAGGAAGCCAGTGCTGATCGGGAAACATTGTGGAAAAATGATTGAGAGAGAGCTTTGTAATTCTGAGTTTTGAAAAGGATGTATAGAAAAAGACTAACTTGTGTGAAGTATTTTGAGCTGAAAATAAGTGTTGGTCTACAGGAAACAAGTGCCTCTGATGGACATTGACTGTGGAATATGATGGACAGAAACCTTTTTAAGTATTTTAAATAAGGAAAAAACTTTGCACCTTGATCCCCAGCATTGAATAATTGTATTTTAATTATTTCTTTTACTCTTGAGAAGTTTCAAAAGTAAGGTAAACTTAATTGTTGTCCACAGCAGTGCATTTATGATCAAATCTGATTTGCTAACCATGTATTTAAGAAAAAAGAAAAAAAAAAGCCACCCATGGGTTGGCATATTTATGACCCACAAACACTTTTAAGGAAGCAGAAGTCAATGTTGTCTGTCACCTGATAATCGTAGAACAGGCTTCATGTTTTTCAGGACTGGGTTTCACCATGTAACTCTTATGAGCAAAGCTTCCTGTAGAGAATTGCTCTGCTTTCTAACATTTTGCTTTTTAACTGTGCACTGAAAACAAAAATGGGGGAGAAGTTAATTTCTCTTACACTTGAGGTTTTTGTTTGTTTTTTTTTTTAGTTTGTTTTTTTTAAAGCTTTTTATTTTTTGTGGAAATATTGTATAATATTTCGAATAAAAAAAAAAAAAAAACTTTGAACAGTTTGTGTCCTGGTTGGAAAACTAACTTATCTGACTAACCATCCCTCATTGGCACCTGCATATTCTCCTTTTTTGCCGGTTTCAGCCATCTTCATTGACTTGCGCACTCACTCCTATACATGAGCAGGAGGCTGTAATTCTGCAACACTGGGGATCAGGCTGCTGTAAACTGAACTGTGCAGATTACATGCTGAGGGATGCTACAAACAGGTATGTACGTGTAAGTGTATCTTCTGCAATAAAAAAAACCCAAAAAAAACCTTCTGTTTGCAACAAACAATAGCAGAACTTTAGTGCAGCTTTAAAGCCGTATTACACCCACAAGCAAAGAGTTTATAATACTTAATCTTACCAATTCTTAGATGTGATAGCTGCATTCATTTTCTTTTTTAGGTTTTCTTTCTTCTATTTTCACCTGGTGATCCTGCCAGTAAGTCTGTTTCTCAAAAGAACAAGCTCTCCTACAGATGTATCGGTTACAGGGTTAAGACAAACCATTTATCACTGACTGGGGTGCTTACGATGATCATATTTTTATTCATGTAAAACCTACGAGTAAAAAAAAAAAAAAAAATTTTGCTGAAACAGCTTATAAAGTATTAGCAGAAGTTTGGTTTCAGTTTGGTAGTGTATTTAAATCTGCTACTTCAGCCCCCCAGACTGACAATATCGTTGTGCTCCTTCATCCAGAGAGGAGGCACTCTACTACAGGAGAATTGTTACTGGCCAGATCAACAGGTGAAAAAAGGAGAGGGGGGCGCCTGAAGCCTAAAGAAGTCACTATATCTGTTTTACATTTAGATTTAATACCTCTTTTAGTACAGCTCTGGGTACATGGTTTGATTGCGTCTGCTTTAAAGATAACTTGTCACCTGTCAATCTCTCTATTAATCTGAATCTTTACTCTTGATTTGTTATAGTGCAATCTTTCCTTTCTTTATTGTATTCTCTCCCTGTTGGGCTGTAAAACTTGAAGTCTGCATTGATTACAGAAAATCAAAGTTCCTTTTAAAAGTTCTGTTGGGATCATATTAAAGAAAGCAATTTTTTTTTTTTTTACTTTCATCCAGCAGCCCTGCGCTTGGGCAGGTGACAGGTCAACCTCTAATAGCCTTTCAGCCTGACATTTCTGCTGTGAGGAAAAAGATGCAGCTAAATAACAGCGCATGCACTTATGGCTGAGTGGCAGAGGCGTAGTTGAGAGGGGGGTACATATGTACCTGGGCGCCAATGAGGCTTACAACCAGGGGCGCATTTGCCCTGAGGCAAACAAGGCGTTTGCCTAGGGCTTCACCTTTTTAGGGGGGCGGTGTGGTGATGCCCCCCCCCCCCTCCAACGGAAGGGACACTTAGTACAGAGGCGGGCAAGGGGCTGCTGTGTCTTACCTGGCTTCGTCTCTCAGTCCCACGACAATCTAGTCCAGGAGGCGCTGCTGGAGGAGGGGTAGAGAGGTCTGCAGGTGCTGCCCCTGTCATCTGGCCACACCCTCGGGATCACTGGACAGCCTATGGCAGCTTGTACCTTTCTTGCAAGCTCCGCCTCCTCACCGGTGATTGGGCGCCAGAACTGTAGCTCAGGAAAGGCACACAGGTTACCAATCACCCGCAAGGAGGAGGAGCCGAGCGCCAGCGCGAAGATCGAGTGAGGGAGCTGCCGGAGCAAGTGAAGACAGCTGACCGGTAAGTGTGCCGTGCAGATGGTGCTGCTGCAACCAGGTATACTAGCTGTGTGGATGGGAGAGGGAAGGAGCCTAGGTTGGAGCAGGGGTCAGAAAGGTAAGTGTCATTCGTGTCAGTGGGAGGAATAGTGCCCCATCATTGGTGTCAATGATGTGATTAAACTGGGAGGGGGGCTGGGGTGCCAATTTTATAGTTTGTCCCCGGGCGCAAAATATGCTACCTACGCCTCTGCTGAGTGGTAAGGCTGCACTATTAGAACAATTAAAAGTGATACACCTAAGGTTTACCACTAAAAAAAAAAAAAAAGAAAACCATGTTTCAATGACAGAGTAAAAGGTAAGCAGCACTAGTATTGTGTGGGAAGCTAACTCCTTGCTTAACAAATTAAACCTGTAAGAAAACAAAGTTAATACACAGGGTGAGGGTAGCCTGGTAATTCAGCTAAAGTACAGATAAGAAACAGTGCTAAATGTTTCATCCTGTAAATGCTCCACTCCCCCTAAGGGTGCATTCACACTGGTAATATACCTACACCACGATTAGATGTGAGAACCCCTGTGTCAAAGCCCAATCACTCGCAAGGCTAGGTTCACATCTGTGCGGGTGGTGCCTGCTGCGGATCCGCACGAAAATCCATGCAACTCCCACAGAGAAATGCGGACCCGCGGGCTGTGTTTTCGGCAGAAGTGCAGGGACTTCTTCCCTGCGTGGCACGGGAGTCCATTCAAATGAATGGGCTCTCGTGCCCACGCAAAACGCGGCCCACACGGCTGTATCTATGTGAGCCGGGGCTAAGTGGCTGTGATGGGTTGCCTCCCACAACTAATCACAGGGACTCCCTCTGCGTTTCTCCCATCTAATCAGAATGCGGGTGCATTTGCTGGTGTGAGTGCACCCTTACTAGTAAAAATTGAATAGACTAGCAATCCAATAAAGAGACTGTCTAATAGTAATGCTAGTCATAGACCACTCAAATTGTGTCCAATTCCTGCTGAATCGGCTGGAATAGAGCAGTGAGTGCCCATGTAACCACCTACCAACTCAAACGTGGCTTTAAAATAAAGAAATGCTACTGGGTGGAACACTATTGGCCAATCAGTGATTGCATCCTATCTAATGCAATCATTGGCAGTGTCAGGGTTTTCAAGCAGCCACCAGAACCTGAATACAATAGCCAGTAGTGGAGATACCTTCAGCCACACTGTTTCCGTGGGTGGGGGAATCCAGATAAATTTCAGCTGTTCAGCCCATGTGCTGAGCGTGAGAAAATCAAGCTGTGTAGGGCGACCTTAAATCCTGAAGTTCAAACACTGTTGCCAGTAAACAGAAAAAAAACAGCACTAGAATATGGAGTGCTATGTACTAATTGTCTGTGTATGTAGTGACTGGGGCGTATAGTTGCATGCAATCCTTGCAGTGTATAGTGCCTAATATGATTCAATCCAGATTTTGTATAGCAGAATAGGTCATCATCCATGGTGTAGTTAAGCTTAGGTCTGGAGCGTCCTATGTTAAGCTGACCATACAACAGAAACTGAAACTATTGAATCTCAAACAGTTCAGCAGGGACTGGCTGAGATTTGAACCGTGTATGGGCAAGCTAAATGTACTTCAGTTGATTGAACTTGGGTACAACCAGCCTGCCGGATTTAAGTGATTATTGGAAGTGACTGTTAAAGCTGCTAGCATTAATCGCTATGTTCTTCCAGGGGAATGGCTTCCTCCACCACGCGAACACAATAGCTCTGAGGGAGGGATTCCCCTGTCAACACTCTGTGTTGATGGGGGAATCAAGCTAATTTCTTCTGTGGCTGAAGGAACGGAATTTTACTCTATGGCCTGCCTTTGTCATCCAGCATCCTATAGAACTATCAGTCAATGGCATTGCACTCTAAAATCCAGGTATTGCAGGATTATGAGTAATGGTGTTATTAACCTTCTACTGGTGATGTTATTATAAATTTCACTTTTATTAGGAACATGATACTGGTAACCTTCACACAATGCAGAATAAGTAAAACATATTAAACTTTTGTTCTTAATCCTACATCACAGGACAAATAAGACTTCATATTCATGACTTCTCCAGTTATGCTGCCACCTTTTGGTTAATTGGACACTAGCAAAAAAAAGAAAAAAAAATCAGGAGTTCCTGCCCAAGCATAACTGTTCCCAGCTCAGCTAAGGCTGATTTTTTTTTTGTCTAGTATGTTTAAGTAATCTAATCTTTGTCTCTCTGAAGATTCTTTTTATGGGCTTTAGTTCCCCCTAATGCTTGGTCTGTTCCTAACACCCCTGATGAGGTAAAGTGTTTTATCCAGATCAGCTGCGATGGCTGAGCGAGGCCATACCCAGACCATTCAGGTTAGAGTGGGGATGACCTGTAATAATGCAAGTTGGCACTGGATCCTGTGGGACAGTGATCTCCAGGATACAGTGTACAAGGTGAACTCACTGGCAGGGTGCGCTACAGGTCCACTGCAGTGATTCCCCTGGAGGGGAAGTTGAGCCACGATAGCGGGCACCGAGTCATCTGGCATGACAGCGGGCACCGGTTCACCAAGCTCGACAGCGGGCACCGAGTCATCTGGCACGACAGCGGGCACTGAGGCATCTGGCACGACAGCAGGCACCGAGTCACCTGCACGACAGTGGGCACTGGTTCACCAGGCTCGACAGCGGGCACTAAGCCATCTGGCATGACAGCGGGCACCGGTTCACTAAGCTCAACAGCGGGCACCGAGTCATCTGGCACGACAGCGGGCACCGAGTCATCTGGCACGACAGCGGGCACTGAGTCATCTGCAGAACAGCGGGCACCAAGGCATCAGGCACGACAGCGGGCACCGAGTGATCTGGCACGACAGCAGGCACCGAGTGATCTGGCACGACAGCGGGCACCGGTTCACCAGGCTCGACAGCGGGCACCGAGCCATCAGGCACGACAGCGGGCACCGAGGCATCAGGCACGACAGCGGGCACCAGTTCACCAAGCTCGACAGCGGGAACCGAGTCATTTGGCACAACAGCGGGCACCGGTTCACCAAGCTCGACAGCGGGCACTGAGTCATCTGGCACGATAGCGGGCACCGGTTCACCAAGCTTGACAACGGGCACCGAGTCATCAGGCACGACGGCGGGCACTGAGGCATCAGGCACGACAGCGGGCACCGAGGCAACAGGCACGACAGCGGGCACCGAGGCATCTGGCACGACAGCGGGCACCGAGGCATCTGGTACGACAGCGGGCACCGAGTCATCTGGCACGACAGCGGGCACCGAGTCATCTGGCACGACAACGGGCATCGAGGCACCAGGCCGGACCAGGTCATCAGCCTGGATCATGAACACTGGGTCATCAGGCTGGATCGTGGCCATCAGGCGGGGTAGCGGGCACCAGCTCATCAAGCTGGATAGGATCATCAGGCTGGATCGGGTCATCGGGCTGGATCACGAATACCGGGTCATCAGGCTGGATCAGGACATCAGGCTGGATCGGGTCATCAGGCTGGATCACGAACATCGGGTCATCAGGCTGGATCGGGCCATCAGGCTGGGTAGCGGGCACCAGGTCATCATGCTGGATAGGATCATTAGGCTGGGTAGGATCATCAGGCTGGATCGGGTCATCAGGCCGGATCGGGTCATCAGGCGGGGTAGCGTACACTGGGTCATCAGGCATCAGGCTGAACAACGGAAGGCGGGTTCTCAGACAGCAGGCTGACCGATTTGGATACTGGTAGGATGGTACTGGTTGGAAAGAATTTTTGCTTCTTCTTGGGTTTAGTTACTGGGGGAATGCAAGTAAATGCAGGTCTGTAAATGGATTGAGTAGCTGGGGACAGAGAAGAGCTGGAGGATGGAACAGAGGAGGGAATAGTTGCTACAGCTGCCTTTTTTACAGGATAGGTGCGAGTGGGAACAGGGTACTGATGTGGTAGATAGCAGGGTATACGGGGCTGTAACTGGGGGTGCTGTCAGGAATGCAGGAATAGAGCTTTGAGCAGAGGAATGATTAGAAGCAGGACGGGTTTGTTGCAAGCTGACTGAGGGTGGGTGTAACAAGTCTTAGCAGGACTGTAGTATTGGTTGAACAAAACTCAGCTTACACATAGCCCGTCTGACCAAAGACTGCACTGCGTTTATACACTCCACTAGCATATGTGGTGAACATGCTGAATAATGTTCCCAGAAGCAATCCGGATCATCCTCCAGCAACCATACCAGTGATTCTATTTGATCTACACTGAATGGTGGAAGAAAGTCATCCCTGCTCTCAGGGGTACTAGATGAAGCCAACTCAACACAAGCCTGAATCAATGGTTGCACCTCAGAGAACTCCGTGCCCTGATCTACTAGGGAATGAGCGACCCGTATGCATTCTAGCAGCTGATCCCTGGTATACTCCTGCAGAGTCTGATAGGCATATTCTCTGTCATCAAAGACTAGCAGATACAAGTAGATAACCTCCTCCGGATGCATCCTTCACAACAACAAGCCAAGATGGCTTCCCTGTGCAGCCACTTCTGGTCAGGAATGGCCTTGGTGTAATGTCAGGGCTCCGGGTATGACCAGAGGTGTGTGGATTGACAAAGGGAAACGCAGGCTTCAGGTATAGTGTAAATAAGAATTTATTAAGACTAAACAACACAAACGCAGTGCAAGGTAAACATAACACAGTGCAAGCAACCCAACCTCCAACAGATACCCATATATACAATCAAACGTAGTTGGGCAGGCCGGGTCGGTAGCAAACGGTACCAGGAGCAAGCGGAAGAGTGGTCAGGAATAGCTGAGGTCAGGACAGGTGGACTTCATTCAGAGTCAGGATCAGGCAGGAAGCAGACAGGATGCAGGTACAGGGGCTCATGGGAAACGTACACCAAGGCACTGACTGCAGGTCTGGCCATTCCTTAAATACACCTCCTGCAATCAGCCTCAGGTGATGGCTGATTGCAGGAGTGAGCTTTTGGTTGCTGAGAGCACCAGCTGGCCAGCCCTGGTACTGCAGCCCACATGGCAGATGAGTTCCACCACTAATGGTGAGTCCATTCCTGACAGTCACAGAATGTTCTTGCATAAGCAACAAGTCTCAGACTCCTGACAAAAGCCTACACCTCTGGAGCTGGATAAACATCCTCTTCCCAATCCTCCACTTGGATGGGGATGTTTATTGGCCTTTGTGACAGTCTGTACTTAGGAAGTCAAAGAAGACTGGATCTGCAGCCACTGTGTCTAGAGGTTCTCAGCGTTACACCTCTATGCTTTGTGCGCTCAAGTTTGGAGCCACAAACACTAGCCGTTTTCTTTGCAGCTCTGGAGAAGCTGTTGTCCTTGTGGGTCACAACACAACAGCTGGAGTGCTTCGGCTTACGTTTTTGACATGGCACAGGTGAAAGTACTACTTCTGTGGGAAAAAATGCCTGTCTCTCCAAATTCCAGGTGGAGTCTCTGAGGTCATTGTAAAGTCCCTTGATTCGAACCTGCATAAGGGTTCTGTGGAAGATGGTAGTCACATTTTAATGCGGTCTCTTGTGCCCTGTTTCACTCCAGCGCTCTTCAACTCAATATCCTGCTGATATGAGGCAAACGTCAGGAGTTCTTGGACCTGCCAATGCACCTGTCTCCTAAAACCCAGGTCCGCTCTGGAATCCTGAATATCCACGTAGATGCTGGATACTGGGAAATCCTTCCTTCTGATGAATTGGAAGGCATTGACAACGAATGTCAGCCTTTTGGGATGGAAAGGTGTTCTGAAGAACCTATCGATTGAGGGAACGTCGTCAGAGGAGCGTAAAGTTCTGATCAACATCATGGAACTTTGGGCGATTTGGCTGGCTCTCCTACACCTTCAGTATCTCCCTGCTAGAGTGTAGTTTGACAGTGCTACTCCAGTGGCATTCGTCAACCATTGAGGAGAGGGAAGAAGTTGTTCTGCTCAGGAAGAAGCAGACCTGATCTTGTCTTGGACAGAACATCATGTTTCAGCCCTCTCCGCAGTGTACATTTCCAATGTGGAAAATTGGCTGGCAGGTAGACTTTCTCAACCATCGGAGCTCAAATGGGGAGAATGGACTCTTCATCTGGAGGTGTTCTCAGAGACCTAATTGTGGTGAGGGTGGCTGAATTGGATCTCCTGGCCTCTAGATTTAGCAACAAAGCTGGACAGCAATCCGTAGGCGTATGCAGTAGATGCCCTGGTGACTCCTTTGGGTCATTCTACTTTGGTCTATGCTTTCTCTCCACTACAGCTTTTTTTCTTGCCTGTTGTGGAGGATAAAGGTGGGAGGAGTTTCAGTGATTATTATTATATATGATTTATATAATGCCACCAGTTTGCGCAGCTCTTTACAAAATGAAGGTAGACATTACAGTTACAATACAATTTGGTACAAAAGGAAACAGAGGGCCCTGCTCGTTAGATTTTACAATCTTCTGACCAGTGATTGGCCAAGAATGGGGTATGCAGAAATAATAAATATTTTGCAGCAGGACTGTAATACAGATTTTGAACTCCTTCTTTTTAATGTGTAATATGTTTATAAAGAATTTTTTTTCTTACTTAATAAAATGTTTGCTGTAACAGGGTCCTATCCTCCATTCTGTTTTACAGTCGTTGGGTTTGATTGCCGAAGTCCCATGCGATAGGGGTGTTTCTGACACTTGTTCCTACCCTCCTTAAGGTGTGAAAGTTGAGCTCCAGGGTGGTGTACCAACATACATTCACCTAGTGTTAGGATCGTGATTTTGTGAATGCATGTTTCTTGTAGTGCTACAACTAAACAACAGAGGGCAGAAAAGTACCAGTTTGTTTTAGAGCTCTTAATTCATTGTTTGGAGATTGCTCCATTAACATTTATGGCAGAATGTGATGAGGCATAAGCTGAGATGTCCTCAGATGCTCTGTATCTGCTGAGGATGCATAGGGGGTAACTGCTTATTTTTCATGTATTTTTTTTTTTGTCTGACAGTACAGAATATAATTATGTAATACACATATATTGTGTTTCTTAGGCATGTTAGCTCCCTGTAAAAGGTTCTCTTGTGTAGACAAGTCCTGATACGGCTGCTGGGTCTCGCCATCCTGGATGTGATATCAACTGGAACAAAACTGTCATTCAAGTGACACTCTGTAGTATCATACTTTGCTTCTTTGCTGCATAAATGTTTATGAAGATAGGGCAGAAGAGCTGGGCCAGCACAGAGAATAATTAGATACTCCCACAAGAGGAGAAGGCTATGACATGGCTGGAGGAAGGTGGTTGTGCTAGAGAACTGTTTCTTCCTTGAGTAGTCCTATTCGCCAGCAAGTTCAGAGGCACATTGCAAGTCAATAAAAAATCTTTTAAAAAATGAGTGTGCTGTACACTAAATAATCATAAACAATAATAAATCAAATAAATGCTGCTACATGAAAAATGTACATAAATTAATTGAAATGACATAAGTCCACATTCATATATTAATTAAAAGTCCCCAAATCCAATAACACAGTGCTGTGTGCCAAAGAAATCATCCAACAGAAAGTGCATAGGTATCCACAAATGCTTGACATAAAAGAAAAAAATCAGCCTCTTACCAGACACTTTGATCTCCAATCAAGAGATCAAATGAGCAGATGGTGTTCAGATCCCACACTGACACCCTAGTTAGCCATATCAAGAAGATGAATGGACAACTGCAGGGTCACTTGAACGAATCCATCACATGCCTGACGAAGGTGTCCTGCGCGGGTCTGAAATGTTGCACTTTTCTTTGTGATGTGATTTTTTTTGCAATAAAAACCTTTTTGGACCATATCGAGATCCATGGCATGTTGGCGAATATGTACGTTTACTGCAGATACAGACTGATTTTACTGTTGTGAGTTTTGTAACACTTTAATGAGAGCAGCTAAAGCATGTTTTTGTGCCAACCAACTGGTCTTCTAGCAACATCAGGTCCTTAAATAATATCGAGGATTTAGTACTGTCCATGCTGTATGTGGAGATTTTCATGTGCCTGGTGAAGGCCCACAAGTACCTCTACAACTCCAGTGATGTTCATCACAAGAACCATGGAAAACGCCAGAGGTCCTGAGAAGAAATTGGTATAGTGGACATGATTCAAGAGCTCTGATATCACAAGACACTATACCACCATGTATTCAAATCAAGAAGGACACAGATGACAATGACAACATGTAAATGTCACAGATAATACTTCTCTCTATTGGGTAAAACAAAAATGCACAGTCACTTGTAAAAAAAAAAGCTTGCATGCTCACTCTCCGGTGTCAATGGGGCTTCGATTAAAAAAAAAACAAAATAA